TCGCGACAATGCGAAAACTGTGTCCGTGAGAAAAAACGAACTCTGCACTGTTAAAGTAGAAGCTTTCAGGCTTTAAAATGAACCCAGTAGATCATTGTACGATTTCTTTTCACGACGTTGTTTACAGTTAAAGATATCAACGAACTTTCATCGAGCGTTGAAATACTTTTGCCAACCGGCGTAAGTTCCAAAAATTATAAACAACAAATGTAATATATATAGGACGTGAAACAATTTTCTACCAAGGTGGAACGAAAACTCGCTGTTTAAATAGTTACCTGTTTCTTTCCATCTGTTTAATGTTAATAGTTGGCTGGCACGACCATTCGTATATCAATATTCGTACAATTAATTCGCTGTAATATCGTGTCAATCGATAAAGCAAACGGCTTTTAATAACCGGGTACACGGTTTCGCATGGTGGCCAGCATTAATTCGCAATTTTAATTAAATTCTCCATGAAGAATCGTTGTACTTGGCGTAACAGGCCGATTGATTCTCCCAGTTTTCATCCGCGGATATTGTTTCTCCCTTATTACTACCAGTTTCCCTCGATTGTCTCGCGCGGAGAGCGCGCTTATTTGTCCCGTTGATCAAAAGACGAGCACAATGCGTGCCTGCATTATCACCGTTACGGTCGTTCGGTTCCGCTGGCAATCGATGTTTCGAACGAGGAACGCTCTTTCTTGCCTTCGGTTCGATGAAATTGAAATGTGATTTTCGCAAGCATCGCGAGCACACCGAGCACACCTTTGATCTCGAGCGTGAAACGACGAAGCTTCTTCGCTCGTTCTCCGCTACTGTCTTCATGATAGCTGAGAATTATAACGACATGGGCGAATCGAATCTCACGCGGTGGAGACAAATACGAAACAGTCGAGTTCCTATGAAAATTTCATTTTCATGGGCTTATCATTGAAGGGCGGAATTATCGTCGTACCTCGCGGAGAACGTGCCTTAGTCGTGACATCGTCTGTCTCGTGCAGGTCGCATTTTTCTACAATCGCGACACCTGGTCGACGAACTCCTCGGACGATTGTGCATTGGACGATTTTCAAGGTTGCCGTGTTATTATTATCGATCGAATTTTCACTCGCGTTTGGAAAAATTCTATGTTGCTTGTAAATTTTAGAAACAGCAGAGTTCTCTCGTTTGTACGCATTTTCATTATTCTCTCTTGTATTTGTTTTTTCTTTTTTTTTTTTTTTTTTTTTTTGATTCGCAAACGAAAGCATTTTATGAATAATTAACTAATGGAACGCTCGAATGAGCGAGTTTAAAAGCACGATGGGATATTCGTTTCTGAATATTCCGATTGAAATTTACAACAAACGTGATTCTCAATTCGCTCTTGCAATCGCCTTCCAAAGCTTTATTGCCTACGTGAATTCCTGGTATTCAGTTGCATCAACGTTTTTTTCGTAGAAAAAATATTGTAGAATCGACGATACTCGTTCGGGGAAGAACGAACTTGAAGGAAACCTAATTGCATTACCCGGGACGGGAAAGAATATCCAAACTCGGTCACGTTCTATTTAAGGTGTGTTCAACGATGTCTTAAATACTGCTTCTTACGCTTCATCGAGCTACCACGAAAAACGATGTAATAATATCTTTCCAGAGAGGAACCATTGAGCAGCTAGGAATACTCTTGAACACATAAATCTCTGTTTAACTCTCGTACAGTCTTCCAAAATATTGAGATTGTCCAACAGGCGTAAAAGTAAATTTCAGGCGTCGTGGAGAACCTTTGAATTTTCGTCTCATACATTAAAAATATAAAAATACACACAGGAATATATAGAGAAATAAGAATAAGAATATATAGAGAATAATATAGAGATTTAGGGAATTTGAAGATATAGGAATTTAAGAATATGGAAATATCTGCGGCTATAAAGTAAAAATGTAGGAATATAGAAATATAGAACTGCAGGAATGTGGAAGTACAGAGATATAGATTTTCGTCTCATACATTAAAAATATAAAAATACACACAGGAGTATAAGAATATAGTAATATAGAAATTTAGGGAGTTTGAAGATATAGGAATTTAAGTATATGGGAATATCTGCGGCTGTAAAGTAAAAATGTAGGAATATAGAAATATA